TTATTTATTAACATTAAACCTAATCATTATTAGACACTGAAAACTTTGTGACTACTATCAAATAAATAAATAGTAGCAGTCTATATTTTGCGGCAATACGCGTTGTAGTAGCAGGAATGTGCTAAATCTATGGCCAAGCTGTGTGCCGCTCTATGCTTACGATACACAGTCTACTGACTGCCAAAAAAACAGGTGTCATACACTCGACGAAGCAAAGCGTCAAACTCTCTCAAACACGCACAAATGACAATGAAATGGGGCCAACGTCCCTCAGTAAAAAACCTGAATTGTTCACAGGTACGCCAGGCCGACAGGGCAGGCATTAGGATGCCGCTAGATACGTATCGAATAAATTGACCGGTGCGAGGCTTCAGATCAGAGGCAGACATGTACATGTTATTGTACAATGAAAAATATATACACACATTTAAGATTTACCCTGTATGTATTTTAAAATAATATTTTTTGGAGCATTTAATAAATAAATTTTTACGTACTCAAATAGAACCTTAATTAATTTTAAGCGACGTATTCTGTAAATAAACAACTTATTACGTCGAGTTAGAGCCGTAGCGAAATTTATGTAATTAAGGAATCCAATTCTGTATTCGAAAGATAGTCAAATTCGAGGAATTCGTATCTATTGTTCTGCTATTAATTTCACCGAAGAGCACTACTAAGGTAATTGCTATACCCGTCATACGTAGGGGGACGAAAATTTAATTTGGGGAATGAGGCGGTAGATAATGAAGGTATCTTCTATTATCTGAAATATTCTGCAGACTTCCTATTAGCGGTCTATTTGAAGTAGGGTATCCCTTGTAGTTTTGTTTTCTAGTTACATGCTAAAGGCTAGGTTGTGTAAATTTCTCGATTTTAATTAATTCTGTAACTCATGAGAAACACATATTCACACAGGGTGTTAAGCGTAACTTTTATTGGAGAATTCGAGAATATACACCGTAACCCAGAATAACGTGTACAACGGAAGACCACAGATTCGTGGAAACAAAATAGGCAGATTTAGGCTAATTCACCTATATCCAAAATCGCTTTGTTTGGCCGCTAGATGGCCTCAAAATTCGTGAATGTTGTTTGAATTTTGTAAATAACTCGAATACGTATTACTCAATTTAGATTATTTTTGGGGTGTTTACTTTTGCTTTCACTCTGCACATTTTAGTGTTATTCAGAGTGTTTTTAAACTCCTACAAAATTGATGTATGGTTATAATATCCATTCATAACTTTTTCCTTTTTCGGGAAATAATGTTTTTTTAAACTTACAACTCCTACAAAATTGCTGTACGGTTATTATATCCGTTCATAACTTCTTCCTCTTTGGGGCAATAACGACATTTATTTTTTATTTGATAGATGATACCATTTGGCAGTTTTTGAGTCCCTTAAATGTGACTTAAAGATCAAACTGAAATGGGTAGCAAGATATATACATTTAAAAAAAATTTTTTTGTACCCAAACTGCTCATTTAATCAATATTCTACAAGAGGCCCAAAAACTTCCAAATGGTATCACCTATGAAATAAAAAATAGAAGTCATTATTGCCCCAAAGAGGAAGAAGTTATGAACGTATCACCGTACAGCAATTTTGTAGGAGTTGTCAGTTTTAAAAAAAACAAAATGTGTAGATTGAGAGCAAAAGTCCACACCCCAAAAGTAATCGAAATCGTGTAATACGTTTTTGAGTTATTTGCAAAATTCAAAAAATGTTCACGAACTTTGCGGCCATCTAGCGGCCAAACGAAGCAATTTCGGATATAAATGAATTAGCCTAAATCTGCTTATTTTGATTCCACGAATCTGTAGTCTTCCGTTGTACACGTTATTCTGGGACACCCTGTATAATAGAACCAAAAATAATTGCACAGTAAAAAATAACATAGTGTACATTCAAAGTTGTTTATGAATGAAATTATTATGGTATTAAATTTTGAGTTATAAAGTATATCAACACAATTTTTTGTTAGAAATCCTAAAATGTTGAGAATGAGACCATACTGTGTAAAAATCACTTAATTCGTTATCACTATTACGCATAAGAAAGGGGAACACCGAATTGTGCACAAACAGATACCGGCACGCAGTTTGGTATCTGCTGTCAGACAACAAATATGTAATTACGAATTGATTTTAGTTACTACTAGGAGTATACTGTATATGTAAATATGTAAATATATACAAGAAAAGGGTACGTTCAAAAAACAAAAAACAAAATATTAGCTTTATACTGGGTGTTCCAGTCATCTGTATTTTAAAAAATTGTTCGCATTGAAGCAAACCGGCCTGTAACCACTGTTGTAGTGAAACTTTGATACTAGTAAATAGGGACATACCATGAGTTTTTTTCTTAAAAATATGTCTAATAGCTGTTTCTAATTTCTTGCAAATTTTTTTTGGGCACACTAGCTCATGAAACTGATGTAGAATCGAAAGTTAGATATAATAAGGTTGATCTCACGCAATACTTAATAATAATAAAAAATCAAGGTGCTTGAAGTGCAACACATTGTATAAATAAAAGTAAGGGTAAAATTTTTGTAAAGAAATAAAGATTTAGAAATGAATTGGATAGCCACAAACATACATAAGGAGATTAATTCTTGATTTTTTTCTTATCATCGCATGGCTGTTGCAAATAAGAACCCAGTCTGAGAGTTCGAGATGACCTAGATTTACCTTTAACCTCACGAGTAAGAAAATAATAGTTCACGCATGCCATTAGCTCTAATTTGTTTGATATATCGGAAACTTCTTTATGTTTACTGACATCTATCACGCCACTGTTTTTTGGCAAATTGCTAGTTTCCTCAGAACTGGGTTTTAATTTCTAAAATGCCCATAAAACCTAATACGTTATATTTAAATAGCCTGAAATAGTGGCTGCTTTTCGTGCTACCATCGTGGATGTAAGTATCCCAATTCCACGAAATGTATTGATATTTTTACTTTTCATGTAAGATTAAAAGAAGAATGTGTAATGATTTTTTTAAGGTAATATGTACCATCATTCAGAGAAACATCCTATATCCTTGCTTTCACCTTTGACGTTATCGAATGTTATATGAGAAGTTGAATCTTTTGCATACCTATAATGTCTAGTGCCGAAAAACATTGTTGGACTTCATTTAATAAGATTTTTAAAGATTTTTTTTTTGTATTTGAGTAATTTAGCTTAATTCCTTTAAAAATGAGTAAAAGCATGTGAGAAAATAGAATATAATGTTATGATATTTTGAGTTGAAACGTTAAATAAATAGAAAACAACGTAATTTTGAAAGAATGTAAATTTTTGAACTAAATACTCTGTAAAAGGCAACTATATATCGTAGAATAGTTAGAAGGTACAATAAAGTACAATTTTGTAAAGTATCATATTAGAGCATTGGTTGGAGGAAATTTAAAAAATGTTAAAATTTTTGACAAGTTGGTCGACGGAGAAAGAATGAGTTGCACTTATAGATAAAATACATGCAATAAATTAAAACTAAAACTAAAGTTTATCATACCTTTGGTCTATATTTATAAGTGGAATCGAAATTAATGTTCTTTGTATAACTTCATGTAGCGATTTTTGGAATGTCAAACTCATAAGTTGATTTTGTGTTTGTTGTGTAAAAAGTATTTATAAAATGTAAAATGATTTGTGTTGTGTTAAAAAGATCTTCTAGTCATAAACATTAAAAGTTGTCAGAAACGATGGTCCTAAAAACATTTTAGTTAATTGTTAATTCCAACAGATAAAGACTATTCAGATAAGTGAAAATAAGTAAATATCAGTGTCGTGGAACAGTACTACAGACATAGAATTAAGCTAGATAGCACAGTTTGGTAAAAAATTTACAAAAATTTGTGAAAGTAGAATGTTTGCAAATGAATGTAGAAACAAGATACAGACATCAAAATTTAGAGAAAATTGTGTAGAATCAGAAGATGTAATAGTCATGCTGCAAAAACAAGCATAAGGTCGTAATTTTCAATTAAAGATTCACAAAAGTTTAATACGACGTCTCCATAGTAACAAACTCTTTTGTCATCAGTTAATAAAAACTAAAACAGGGCTTGTAATAACCAGTCTTTCATAATTTGCCACGCAGTAAACATCGTTGAGTTGTGCTTAAAATAAATAAATGAAAATCAAAATTAAGTAAATAAATGGTGAAATTAGTTACCAGGTTGGAAACATCAAACAGTATCCACAAGGTAATAAGCGCCATCTGTCAAGAGGTACAGTTGGACATCAGTTCAAATTGTCACACCGAACCAAATATCTACTGGAAATTTATATAATGGGAACGAATGTTAATTAACCGAAAGTGTAAATTATAAATTTGTCAAAATTAAGTTAGTGAAGTGCAGTGGACAAATATCACAGCAGGTTAAGTACAAACCCTTTCTACCAGTAGAAGAACATACGTATGGACCATCCTGACGACGAAGTGCACCGGAAGCCAGCATCAGCCATAGAAAGAATTATGTTACCCGAAAGGCATGTCTGAAACCAGCATTACTCAAAGGTGTAACATGAATTATCTATTTTAAATTAGCCAGTTAAATATGTCACACCAAACGAATTCGTAATATGAGTCAAACTTATAACTCTAAATTAAACTTTCCATAAATATCAAAGTCGACTACAATTCACAATTTTCACCTTCTAGAACAAAATATCATAGCGAGTAGATATAACGTAGAAGTATAAGAAATATAAAAACTTGTTAAATTGTCCAAATATTTTGAATTTGTAATATAATCTATTTGTAAAATGCTAAGTTGAATTTTTAATTTTCTCAAAAATATTATATACATAAACATAACAATATGTATGTTTATAATTGTTTCATAGTGTATAATTTTTCCATCAAATGAATGAGCAATGTCTTATATTTTCAAAAATATGTAATTGCTATTTTTGTTATAAAAAAGTACTAGTGACATTGGAAAAATTCATAATGCACAACTTAAATGAGCGTATAAAAGGGATAGTTTAAAAGTTTTATTGAAAGTAACTATATTTAAAGAAAGGCACATTATTGCTACCACTAATAACTGTCAATTAAAAAATTATGGCTTCTCCTCCGGATGCGCCGAGTAAAAAGCTGCCCAATCCTCCTTATTCTCGCAAGGCCACCTCTTGTCCTCTTTGCCTTCAGATACCTTACTGCACCAAGTCCCTGACTCATCCTGTACGATACTAGTTGCGTCGTCCTTGCAGATACACGAAGGCTTTACTAGGACATTGCAGGGCAGGATGCTTTTCTCGTTGGTTTTCAGGATGCTTCCGTAGCAGCTCACCACTCCTGATTCGTCCTTTTGCGGGTAGTACCCCTTCTGACATTTGCATTTTGATAGCTCGTCTTCTGCTGCCACGGCAAAGGTGACGAAGAGGAGAATGAGAAATTTCATAGTGCTAAAACAATGATTAAAATGATTTTCTTAAATAATATAATGCGAGCGAGTAAAGAAAATTAACCCTATATTTTCACCACCAAAATTAAAAAAATTGAAGTATTTATTGAAGGCTTCTTATAATAATTAAAGATTTTATTCATAGGATATAATCGAAATGTTCGATCAAAGTTTAATGACTAATTTTACGCCAATTAACAAAAAATAGTTGCTATTAATATGCGTGCAATTTTTTTATTTAAGAAAAACTAGGAACAAATACGACATACAACTTTATTTTTGGTTATTTATACCGTATATAACACATAGTTTAAAAGGAAATATTACGTAGACTTCAAAAATGCATAAAGCATAAAGCATGTAAAGTGTGTAAAGGTTATAGAAAACCTCAACATCACAGAAAGAGATAAAATACAAAAAAATTATCTGTATTTCTTAAACGAGTCGTTTATTTTCGTTGAATTGCGGATTTTGCTGATCAGATTTTTGACTTTATGGTCATACTGGGCTATTACTGGCCTAAAAAATAACAAATACGGAAATTATACTACTGTTTTTTTATAGTCCATAATAAAATTATTGAATTTCTTACAATATTAAATATGTGATGGGTCTATTCTCAATGGTATATGAGATATAATCAAAAGAGAGTGTGTCTATCAAACAGGTTTTCAATTCAAAATTTAACTTTTCCCATATAGGCCAAGCAAATGAAATTTTTACTCGAAAAAAGTTCTATCCGCGAGATTATTGTAAAACTGTCTACAGGAACATGATACAAGACATCTCTCATCTCGTGAGTCAAAAACTTTTATTAGCTAACTTTTCTATTTAAACAAATATGTGAGGAAAACAGTTTTTTCACTTTGTAGGGAAAACCATCAATTTTAGCGAAAAGTGACTCTGAGACAGCTTGTAGGGAGTAAAATTATCTACAAAATGAGACTTGTTAAATTAAAATCGGTTAATAAACAAAATAGTTATTGCAAAAAACAGGAAAAGTGCCCATTTCTTAATTTGTTTATAACTATCGCATATATTGTTAAAATAATATAAAACCTATGACAAGTTGAGGGTTTTATCATACTTTAAAAGTGTGCCAAAAGTGGGCGCTGTAGGTGCAATAGTTTTCGCACAGTTCAATTTGTTTATAACGGAGGCTCCAAAAGTTATGAACTTTAAGCCTCTGTACAGGCGTTAATTTTCAACCAAACATGATTCTGAAAGCGTCATTGTAATCTTAAAGACGTAATTAAGCGACCTTTTAAAAAATGTCACCGTTTTTTGACATTAACATTCTCAAATTGTACATTAAAAAACCGTGCCTTTTTCGCTTATAAACAATTTGAATAAAATTGTTGCTATTTATGCTCAACTTGTCATTGGTTTTATAAAATTTTAACAATGCGATAGTTATAAACAATTTAAAAAGTGGGCACTTTTCTTGTTTTTTTTTGCAAAAACTTTTTTGTTTATTAACCGAAAGTCTCATTTTGTTGATAATTTTACTCCCTACAAGCTGTCTAGGGTCACTCTCCGCTAAAATTGATGGTTTTTCCCTGTAAAGTGAAAAAACTGTTTTCATCTCTTATTTGTTTAAATAGAAAAGTTAGCTAATAAAAGTTATTTGACTTACGAGATGAGAGATGTCGTGTATTATGTTCCTTTAGACAATTTTACAATAATATCGCGTATAGGACTTTTTTCGAGTTTCTCTTTTATTTTCGCTAATTTTCTTGGTGTAATATGAAACTCACCCGTTTGCAAATCAAATTGAATGACCTTCATATTTAAACATAGGTTTAATATTTTAGTAAAATACATATACTGGAAACAACCAATTTCACCCTTTGTTACAACGCAAAGAAAAAAGAAATATCAAACTAATTTATCAAATTATTGTCATAAAGATTGCTTGCGTGGTAATCTCAGTTGATAATTTATTTTTGCTCAGATGAAACGTTTTTATGTACGTGTGACAACGGTTTTAAATTTTTGTTTCTTTTTTAATAGAGAAGTGTATTAGATCAATTAAATTGGAACAAATGTTAATGATTAATTTCAAGTATACTCATATATTGTAAAATATTAAATCTGTTTTTGTACTAAAAGTGTGAAATTAATTTATAAACTGCAAACTTTAATTTAAGAAGACACAAATTTGATTACCAAAAGGTTAATTTTAATTTGTAAAAAGCTGAATTTCATTAATAATCAAGTTAAATTAATATAAAAAAGTTAAATTTGAACAAACCATTAAACATACTTCTCTGACGCGATATTAAACTGTTTTTTCTTAAATTGTGTATGAGAAACATGTGATACATGAATCTGTATAATAAATAATAAATCTAACTAAATTATTTTTAATGTCCAAGTTATTTTTTCTCAAAAATTTGTTAAAATCGGGATTCTGATAGTTTTTCTGAATTTATATTAAAAATTGGATTTGAGAATTTCTCAAATATTTGTGCTATCTATTTTACGTTTTACAGAAAATATTATTTTCACTTGTTCCCTGGTGGTGAAAAGTTGATGTCAAGACTATGTCCTCTTAGGGGTTTCTTTACAATTGTTTTTTTAACCTAAAAGAAGGAAACAGATCAAGAAATCCACCAAATAATATTTTTCAGGCAACGCTAATAATACACTGAATTTAATAAATCGAAATCATATGTTATTTACCTGAAATAATTTCTGTTTTCATAGACGTAAAACTTCGAACTTGAGATTGGCACTAACGCACAGTCTAGCGTCTACAAATCGACTAATTATACGGCTAACAATCGAACTCTTCAGGTCCGACTGGTTTTGAAGTATATTCACGGTCAATAATCCCTGAAATGCTGAACAAGACATGCAGTCCACGTCCATTAGCATGGCATGAAACCAAATATATGGCCTGCAATCAGCACACATTTTTTTTTCTTTAATTATGACTATTAATCACTATTCAGAGAGTCCGCAGAGATGTTTGTCCTCATTTTAACTAAAAGAAAACCTTAATCTTAACCTTGACTTCTACTTTAGTGAATTCGTACTTCTTTTATTCTATTTATACCGGGTGTTAGGTAAAAAAACGCCGGTACCATTGCGAGAAACAAAATATTGACGTTATTGGCTCCAAACATATTTATTTCAACACGCAGGTACCTTAATGACACAATTGTATTTTTTTGAGAACAGAACGGCATATTTTTTTGAAGTCATCGTAAAGTTTAAAGTAAGGATCACATTCTTTAAGAAATATCACAATGGCACTGCATGTGAGTTTGTAGTATTTTTAGAACCATTAACACTAATCTTTTGTATTTTAAAATCATACCATAAGAACTCGCGGCATTTTTACGAGACATCCGGTGTTGTCTGAAGTTACTTATTTGCTACATAGTTTTAGTTTTTTATTTGGATACCTGACATCTGTGAAAAATATTTAAAATGAATGAAATAGACCTTTGCGCCACAAGAGTCAGTAACGAGTTATTTTTAAGAAACTTGCCTCGATTAACCAAAAATCTCACTTAAGACAGACAAATAAAAAACACATTCAATAAGTTATTAACTTTGTCATTTTAAAGAATTGAGAATGACATTTCGACTTAAATTCATTTTAATTTTAAATTTGTTTGTCTGTTCCATATACACCCGGTATCTCTTGCTATATAAAAAAGAACATCTATTTAGAAAGAAGTCGGTTAATGAGAAGAATCTTAATATATCGACTTCCTAAATATAGAAGTATACATACAGGTACAATCCCAGTTTTTTATTAATAAATTTTCATAATCTTCTGCAACCTCATTAGCTTGGATATATTTTTCTTGTATCTACTCTAAAAGATCCTAATAGAACTAATTTCATTTGGATTGGGCATAAAAGTGTTATTTCTATGCACCCTTCTCAATTGCTTAATTTGGAATTAGATTGTTAAACATTTGTTTATCGCTGTTTAGGAAATAAAAATGCTGCAGTTCAATTAATTGAAGACGTGCTTGGGGTCTACATGTTCTTTATTACGTATATTTGATTAAACAAAAGGCTTTATTACTTCTTTTATTTTGGCAATTTGCAATGATCCTAGATTTATTCAAGGCACACATCTATTTGTAACAGTAGATACACGCAGAAAACAATGTGACGGAAATACATACAATTGTTACTAAAATTGTGATAGGGACAAATTGTATTAAAGTTTCATACGATATTGTTTGAAATTTCAAAAAATCTACAATTTGTTGGTAATAATTTCACAATTATAAAAATAAGCACAATGCGAACGTCGAATTTTCACAAAAATTTGTCTGTCCCTAATTTAGAAGCAATTGTGTGAATTTGTGAATTTTCATGATATTGTTTTTTGGAGTAAGTTCAGTATAGTATAAGGCATTGTTTTTAAATTAATTTTTTTCACAAGAAACATAATGAATTGCATAAAAATAATTAATGTAAAAAATTAAGTAGAATTGTTGATTTCAAGTTTGTTTATAGTTTTTTGAATCATATTTTCTTGAAAACAGTCGTCCTAAATTTAAAACAAAGTTTGCAGTTTTATTAGTTTTATTTATTGTTAGATCAAAGACCCCTAACGAAGTTAACATGAGTTTTGCTCTCTTTTTTTCTCCTAAAACCTATTGCCAATATATAACTTTGATTTCGAATTTCCCTAAAAAATACTATATACAAGGATTAATCTGGATAATTTCAGGAATCGATAGAACAGGTTAAAATAATGTTCATTCATGATATAAACTTATTTCTTAAATCGCACCGTTTCGAAGATAGAGGGCGTTAAAGTAGGAACTTTTTTCCCGTTACCGATATTGAACTATTTTCAATTAATATACCAATAACTGTGACAGTAATAACATAATAATAATTTATATATTGCAGTCACTTGGCAACAACAAATACAAAAATAAAATAGGTCAATAAATCCAGAGTTGATATTATTAAACGAGTATGACAATATACTGCTATGATTTTTGCGTTATAAATTTGTTTTATTTATTGTATTTTAATTGAATTTTAATTTTGTTATTGTAATTTTTAATTTTATTTTGCCTGGACTCCAACAACAACTTGTCTTGTTCAATAACTAGTGTAGAGCTGACTTTTCCTCAGGGTGTGTTTCACTAACTTATATTGACATATTTTGAAGTATGAGATTTCCAGGTGACGTAATCCTCGTGATGGTCGATGCTGGATTTTGGTGCTCTAGGTCGTCAAACTGGTCCCATGTGCTCGATTTTCCAATTGTACCTAAATAGGGTTTGCACTTCACCTGCCGTTGTATTTTCCCAATGCACTAATTTTTATTTGACAATTTATACTTTGCACTTTTGGTTAAATAACATTTGTTCCCATTATATAAGTTTCCAGTAGGTATTTGGTTAGTTGAGAAAAATTTTAACTGACGGAGAATTACACTTTTTGACAGATGGCGTTTGACGCTTCAAACTAACTAAGTTCACCATTTATTTACTTAATTTTGACTTGCATTTGTTTATTTTAGGTGTGACTCAACGATATTTGCAGCTTGGAAAATTATGAAAGATTGACTACTACGAGCCCTGTTCTAGTTTTTAAAAACTGAAGACAAAAGAACCTGTTGCTATGGATACATTATATTGACGTTTTATAAAATTTTTAAACTGGAAATTATGCCTTTATGTATATTTTTTGCAGCATGACAATTACAGATTTAGATTCTACATAATTTTTTGTAAATTTCAATACCTATATCTTTTTCTACGTTCATTTTCAAACATTTTGCAAATTTTTCAAATTTTTGCAAAATTTCACCAAACTGTGCTATTTTGCTTAATTCTATGTTTGTAATACTGCTCCACGACATTGATATTTCCTTAATTTCATTATTCTGAACAGTCTTTTCCTGTTTGAATTAACTAATAACTGAAATGTTTTCAGATCCACCTTTTTTGACAACTAATAATGTTTACACACTACTTGGAACGTAAATTGGGATTTTAACACAGTTTTATATGACTACAAGGTCTTTTTAATACAACACAAATCATTTTACATCTTATAAACACTTTTTACACAACAAGTTTCACACAAGTTATACAAAGAACTTTAACCCACTTATAAATGTAGACTAAAGGTATAGACTTAGTTTATTGCATGAATTCTATTTACAAGTGTAAATCCTTCTCTCTCCGTCAATCTATCTGTCAAAGTCTTATTTTTTTCAAATTTTCTTCAACCAATGCTCCTATATGACACATGACTTTACAAAATTGTACTTTGTTGTACTTTCTAACTTTTTCTACTCTATATTGTTGCCTTTTACAGCCTATTTACGGTAATTCTAAATCCGCTAATGACTGGATACTTTTCACTTCACTACGTAAAATTTATCGACGCGCATTGAAAGAAGAATAATCCAGGTTCTATGCAAGTTCTATCTCAAGTTCAGAAAATAAAAACAAAACAATATGGAGTATAGTTAAGCGCGAGATATCCACTGCGACTAAATCAGCTGATACTACTTTATCACCTCAGGATTTGAATATTTATTTTACAACAATATCCGACGCTATAGCTAAATCAATAGTAATTTCGAGTGTCCTCGAGATCCTCAATTTCTGTTAAATAATATGCCGAGCCCTTCTTCATCGTTTTTTATTATGTCAATTTTAGAGACATATGTTAGACAAGCCATTTTAAGTTTAACAAATTCTAGTTGTTTAGATTTTTATGACTTATACAGCGGTACCATTAAAGCCTTTGTAGACATTCTTACTACTCCTCTTACAGCGTTGCTGAAGGTTATTGGCCTGATAATTTAAAAATTACTAAAATAATTCCTGTATTCAAGAAAGGGGATGCAGATGCACCTGATAATACAGACCGATTGCGATTGTACCGATCATTTCTAAAATCCTCGAAATTATTATTAAGGAAAGATTATTAGTGTTTTTGGACAATAAAAATATATTTTCTTCATCGCAATTTGGTTTTCGTAAAAAATCATCCACTGTCAGGGCATTACTGGCGTTAATGGAAGCATTGTGGAAGGACTAGACGAGGGTGTTCCCACATATGCAACCTTATGTGATTTGACTGTGTCAATATTGAAATACTTTTATTGCATAAGGGGAAATATTGCAAACTTATTTAAATCTTATTTAACTGGCAGATCTCAATATGTTAATTTTAATAGGGCTGTCTCGGAATTGCGACCCATATCAAGCGGTGTCCCCCAGGGATCCGTCTTGGGACCGGTGTTATTTTTGATTTATGTCAATGATATTCCTGAGGCAATGGGTAAAACTAATTGCGCGCTTTTCGCAGATGATATTACGTATATTTGCTAGAGGGAAACAGAATCTACTTGAAGGTTTTGAAAAAGCAAAAGTTTGGTTCAATGCAAATAATTTAAAATTAAATGAAAATAAGACTAAGAATATAATATTCAGCTCTGATCGGTGGTTGGAAAAATCCAAGCCTGTACGTCGTCTTGGAGTCGTGCTTGATGGTGGTCTGACTTGGTCAGCGCAAGTTGACACTCTGTGTGCAAAGCTTTCATCTCGAATTTTTATCATGCGACAGTTGAGATTCTGTTTGGATAACATTACCATGAGAACTGTTTATTATGCAATGGTCCACAGCTTAATATCATATGCAATTTCCCTTTGGGGAAATTCATCTAAATTATACAAAGTTTTTCACTTGCAAAAAGCTGTTATTAGGATCATAGACTCAGCACCATTTGGTACTCATTGTAAACCTTTGTTTAGAAAGTATGGAATCCTCCCTTTCCCATGTCTGTATATTTTTGAAAATTTGTTGTTAATACACAAACATCTTAATAATTTAATTGTACATTCAGATGGACATTCTTATGATACTCGATTGAGGGAAGATCTCATACCATCATTTTCAAGACTGAGAATGACTCAGACTAACAAAATTGACGTTAATCTATATAACAAATTCATTAGATATCATAAACATCTCGATGTAAAAATAATTACATATAGACATTTCTACAAATTAGCAAACAAATTTTTAATACAAAGGGCTTTTTATAGTGTAAAAGAATATCTTGAGGATAAACCGCCTGTATAGATGCTTATGATGTCTTAGACAATAATATGAAACATTTGTTTTTTTAATATTTTATTATTATTTTTATTTTCTTTCTTTTTTGTTACTTCTTCGACAATTTTATTTCTTTGTATTTTAAACCAAATTTGTATTTTACTGCTGTGTATGTTTAAATTTTATGACAAAAATATTTTCTGCATTTTTTACCTACTTTTAATATATTTTCTTGTGAATTATGACATAAATGTACTTATGTATATATTGACAATAAAGGACTATTCTATTCTATATAACGTTTCAACTTAGAATATCATAACAATACAAACCTTTAAAGTTCATAAAAGTAATTAACAAATAAAATCAAAATTCATAATTAAATCAACATATGATGGATGATAAGATGATTTGGTTTAACACAAGTAATTGTACAAAAATTTAAAGTAAACCTAAATTGAAATTGTTTTTATTTTATTTTTTACTTTTATTTTTTTATAATACATTAACATTATAATGACGTAAAGCGTGGTGCAGGTACATTATATCAAATGTATCTATCAAATGACACATCAATACACATATCAATATTGAAAATACTCTTGATAAATAGTACAAAACGAGACTAATTTACTGTATAACAACATTTTTTTAAATTAACAATCGATACCACAAGCTTCTTAAGTGAATTTTGATTATTTAAATATATTTTTTAGGCACTATTCCTAATTCCGACCATTAGTTCGTTGAATATTAGGATGCTGGCTGAAGAAAGTTTCCCACTCCTCCCTATTCTCGCAGCGCCACCTCTTCACTTGACTGCCCCTGTTGTACTTTACGCACCACACCCCAGAGGCGTCGTTGAGGATTCCTGTGACTTCGGGACCACACTGACATCTCGGTTTTTTGATCAGGTTGCAGGGCGCGAAGGCCTTCACGTGAATGCCGTAGCACATGGCGTGACCGTCTTCGTCTAACTGGGGGCGGTATCCTTCTAAGCATTTGCAGTCGGAGAGCTCGTCGGCGAAGGCTAGGGAGATGACGGTTAAGAAGATGATACCAAGATTCATTCTGAAAAAAAAAGAATAGTTTTAGGCCGTTTAGTTTATTATTTTTTAATTTTTATTTAGGTTTTTGTATGTCGTTTAGATTCTTTAGTTTCTTTAAAACTCTTATGAGTATATACTCATCGAAATGTAGGCTTCTTGGACTATTAAGTGTTTTGGATTATAGATGCTTTAAATACATTTTCAGATTATATAGTTCCATTTAGACTTTCTGAAAACCTTAAACTTGGATACACTTTTTAGATTGGTTAATTTTTTAAACTATTTTGAATTTATAGTTTTAGACTCTTCTGAGCGTATGAGCTTTCGAATCTCTGAACCTTCGATACTTGGAAATCATTTAGAATTTAAGGCTTTTGAACTCTTTTATCCATTTTGAGCTATATACTTTTTGGAATCTTCAGATTCTTTGGGCATTTTAGGCCCTTTAGACTATTTATACTTTTCAAATGTCAGCGCTTATTAGTCTTTAGATGTGTTGGATAGATAGATTATTTAATTTAGGCATTTTAAATTTTTGGACTCCTTGAAAATATTAAAAACATTAGATTCTTTAAATATTCTAGATTCTTTAAACGTAACTGCTTTAGATAAACTTTTGACTATTTAGACTATTTACTCGTTTGAAAACTGTAGTAGACTCCTTAGACTAGCACACTTAGTCTTCAAATTCTTCAGATTAACTTTTCAGATTGGTTATATTTTAGACTTTTTAGAATTTTGATATAATATAGACTCTTTCGACACTTAAGAGCTTTAGATTCTTTAAGATTTAGATAGATAGATTTAGACAGATCTGGAAACACTTGAATCTCTTTTGAGTCATAGACTTATTAGACTTTTTAGATTCTTTGAGCATTGTAGGGCTTTTAGACTCTTTTGCTTTTTAAATATAAATGCATTACAGTTTTAGATGCTCTGGACAGAATTATAGATTATTTAGACATTTTAAATTTTTAGGCCTCTTGAGCACTTTAGACTGTAGATTCTTTAAATACTTGCTTTCTTTGAATATTAATAGACTTTCAGTTTACTAGGGTTTATACTTTCTAAATTCTTTAGACATAGACTTCAAATGTTAGTTAAATTTAAATTCCTTCCAAATTGTACGTAATCGGGTTCTTTTGACACTGAAGCCTATGAGACAGACTTTAAGATTATTTATTATTTAAGACCCCTTTAGACTCTTTGAATACTTTAACCCATTTATACAGTTCGAACATTTATTTGCTTTATGCTTTAATTTCCTTAGTTATTTTAGATCCAAATATCTTAGATTCATTCAACCTCTTCACATTTTTAGACTATCTAGATGCTGTATTCTCTTTCATCAGTTTTGATGTCCTGAATAATTAAATAGTAAATTAAATAGAAAATGTTGTTAATCAACAATGAAAAAATGCTTATTTAAATTGGTGCAAAATGTAATGCAATAATAATTTTGACGGAATACATCTTGCACATAATCGTTTTTTATGTGATACGCAGTAAAATTTCAAAATAAAAGCATTATTTAACAGCATTCCATATTTATGTTTTGTGATTGTTTGTTTATTATTTATTTAATAATACCTTGTTAGCGATTGTTGATTCAATGAACAAAAACTACTTATAAACCACGAGCACCTTTTCTTTAGCAACTTTGTTCACCACTTATTCTACGAACTAAATTAATATTCATTGATATAAATAAATTTGTAACAACATTTGACCTTATTATCAGTGTCCTCCTAAGTATATAGAAATATTATCAGTATCTTGGATTGTAAACTGTGGCACATGTTTAAGATAACATTTATTTAACGCAACCCATTTTGCAATGCAAGTAATTTATACCTTCTGTGTGGAATTCCTTATAAAATGTTTAAAAAGGATAAATATAATATAGAATCACATCTTTACTGTGTTTTTATATTTGTTTCTTGTTTTAAAATCAGAACTCCTCATTTTATTAATTTTTTTATTAGTCACTATTACATAGTCATTTTGATTATAAAATTTCTGATGACATAAAATAATATATTTATTAATTAATTAGTAAATTATTACACAGCCCCACAAAAAAAAAGTATCGGATCTGGTATTCAGACCCATGTATTTCCATGTATTTTTATCCGCTGAATCCGAATCTGTCTTCAGATTTGGCCCAACGGGTCTGAGTTTTCGGGAAAATTCAAAAAACAGGTCAAAATTCACAAAAAACGTCATTTAAGATTGACGAAAATCATAAAAAATCAAATTATTCTACCAGCTCACTAGACCTATGATTTTTCACTCGTTTAATTTTTTTTGTGGGGCTGTGTTATTAACCCTCAAAGGCCACACTAGTGCGAAATCGTATCACTGTTTTTTTTAACCTACCCCCTACCACGATGATCCGTTCTATAGCCCAAAGTATTTTAGGTAGTTACAAGTTTTGTTTCGCTGAGTTATATTTACATTGTAGTCAATAAATGATGCATCGCTGAAGTCTGGCCATAAAAATTGAAACTTCGATATCCATAAACGACCTATACCGCATAGAATTGGTTCTGACTCATAAAATATTCCTGTTCCTTATGTCAAGGGCGAATCTCATCTTGTATAAATTTCCTATTTAACTTCCAAGAGTCGATGATGGGTCCCTGTCAAGGCGTCATAAAGAGAAAGACTGGCTGGATAGAAAGTTACGTCAGTGTTAAATGGATTCCTATTTTATGCAAGATGAGAGGCATTTGATCCTACGTTCTCCTAAAAATACTTTATTTCACGTGCCGTGTTATTTAAATGAGAGTTCATTTTTTATTTTTCTCGGAGTTTATCCAGTTGCTCGGCGGGCAGCCCCAACGAAACGGTAAGGCAATAAAAAGTCTTGAAGATTTAAAAACTTGACTCGTAAAGATTTTTATTTCTATCAGTCCTATCATGCCAGTCGAGGACATATTGTCTGGTTTGTGTTTGTATTTCAGTAATTAATCAACTCGCGCAGATTTTACGTGCTGTTTCTTATTATCCGTCTGTATGTAGATTTCTTTTTAGAACAACGAAATATTTTAAGGGTTTTGAGACAATGTTTAATACTTAAAAAATTTCAGTTTTCATGCTGCGAGTATTTTTATTTATAAATTTATTGAAAAAACAAACGCATGATGTGCGATATGATGTGCGATTTGTTGTGCGATATGATGTTCGATATGATATGCGATCACTTAAATATATGACGTGGTATGTGATTTAGCCTGCAAATTCAAATTGAACAGACAAGCAAATTAAATTTCGCACGCTACTTTGATGAGCGTTTTGTTTGATATAAGATTCAGTAAGATTGTCATCAAAGAATCAGCAAAAACACAAATAAATGACACATGACACTAAGATGTTGTCTCGATTACAAAATCACACCTCACTTCACATACCGCATCACTGGTATATAATCTAGCAATATACATTGTCAAATAAAGAGCGTAAACTAAAACAAATGACTGTCTCTTTATGGTTACTAAATCACACATATTGTTACATGCTTCCTCACTTTGATGAAGCTGTGTTATGTGATTTAACTAGTAATGTCGTCTTGAAATTGGACAGCTTAAATATACGGTTGAAACCTATACTTCCTTCCGTTTGTTAGATCACACATCATGTTACATACACACATCACATTGACGGGCATACTGATAATAATCTAGTAAGTAAAATATATAATAATATATATAATATAATGAAGAAAAAAAATGGAATATCGTACATTGCCTATTAAGTAACATTATTTTGAAATTTAACAGTAATCTATCTTAGTGAGATCCCACATTGAAGATTAGATTCCTTTCTATGTGCTAGATCACACATCACATCATATAACACGTTTGATAGGTGATTTGATATGTGATCTAGCAAGTCATCATCTTGTAATTGAACGATATGAACAGAAATAAATGAGATCGCATGTTAACGACTGTCCCATGCACGTTAATTACAACATTGTTCTGATATGTAATGTGGCAAGGAATTATCTTAAAATTGAACTGCATAAATATAAATAAATGAGACATAAGACACTCAAAAGACTGTGTTTATTTTCGGTTACTAGATCACACATCACATCATATGAAGAGTGTTATGTGATCTAGGAAGCAACATGATTATAAATGAATGAAACATTGTACTCTGAATACTGTACTTCTTCTCGTTCACTAGATCACACATCACACATCACGTCACATGTCACGTCACTTTGGTCGGCGCTGTGTTTGCTATTCAGCAGGTGCGCACTTGTCAGATTACTTCAAAGGAGACCTTCATATTCCATTTGTTTTGTTACGTTATAGATAGATTTAGCAAATTACATCACATCAGTTTTGTGGACATTTTCATATACTGAATATGCGTGTTATTTGCTACATCATTTCCTAGAGTGTTGTTCCTAATAAATACGCATGTGTATGAAATGATGTTAAATAATAATAAAATACTTATTCGTTTCTTTACTCATCATAAACTTTTATACCGCAATAAACTGCAAAAATTTGTATTAAAATATTTATTACATAAACCGGCAGTATTTTACAGCAAGCAGTTTCCTGATATTTATAATTTCCCTATATAGTATAAAGTCTGAGATAACAAGACTTTGATGCTTGTTTTACACCGAAACTATAAAACCTAACACGCATCGCAGAGTAGATTTTATAGCTCCAGTATTCACGCGTCTTTGATTTTATTCATTCCGGAGTATAGAAAATGTATTAAAATGTGAAATCGGTGATCGGACCCTCCACCGTTCGACGGTGCATGATGCGTGGTGGGAAAAAGTTCGTTTCATAATAAATGTCAGTACCTCCATCTAAGCTTATGTAAGCTTGTATATTTATTATGCGTATTTTGTGTATTCTCACCTGAACACTCTGTAAAGTAGATATATTTTTAAATGGATGCTATTTTCTTTATGTTATCGCACAATTCTTTATTTCGTCACACTGTAGATGTGTGATGACGTCATCGATATTTTTTTAAATGAGATTGTATATTTTTTTTACATGCTTTGATAGATTTTTTTATTCTCTTTCAAACCATATGAAATTTGTATGCCTTTGCATAACGAAATTTTTGAGAAAATATGAGAAAACTTTCAGCCTTTGACTTTAGTCGCTTTCTAAATCATATCGAATAGAAAGCGATGGAAACACAGTTTCGCATATTGCTATCTGTCACTTATCGGTATGTTTGTAATTTTTGTCACCTTTCAGGTTTAATTTATAACAAAATGAATGATTCTAATGAAGAAGTTGATATGCTGCAGGTATATTATGAATGTAGAAAAAACAGTGCTGCAGCTTTACAGTTACATCGACAACGCTATCCTAATAGAATTTCCATTAACAGATGAAAGTTTTGCAAAACTTCAACTCAATAAATTATTAAAATTCTAACTTAACACCAGCAAATTAAAAATGACGAATGATGAAAGTCTCATTATTTTCGCCCCAATAATTTGTGGTTAACGGCTAATCAATTTGTTACACTCTGTCATGTCTTGTGAATTTCGTCAGATTCTAAGAAATCTGAGTTGATGAAAAAATGACTAAAATATTGTTGGCAACAAATTTCCCCATAAAATCCACTTAAAAATTCTCAAACGCCTCATTATAATCCCGAAACTGGTTCAGCAGGAACATGCAAGGCTTTTACTCGAACAAAACCCTGTCAATTATAAAATGTGATGCTGCACACGGAAAAGAGATCCACACAAAGAACTCTCCCCCCCTCGGTGTACATTCGTAGGGGCGCATAATGCGTTTTATTGGGGTAATTTCCTATTACAATATATGACGGATAACGATATATATCATAAGTTTGGATTTTTCGAGAGCCAAAACAAAACATTTTTAGGACCCCGTAAAACGTGGCGGATCCGGTAGACAATAAAAATGTGACAGTGCTCCAACTAATCTCTCTTTTGTGTCGAGAGGGGAATCTGCAGATATGAAATTCATATGCGTAAACGTAAGCTCCTGACAGGTTTCGAGCTTGATTTTGTATTGTAATGTGCAGAGTAAGCACACAGGGTCGTATTTGGTATTAGATGCTACAAGGGTGAATTTTGTTCGTACCTACAACTGATCTTTCAAAACTGCTTTTCGCATGGAGAAACCTAAATTATTTAAAAATCCAAATAATGTTATTCTATTTTTTAATTTACGTGAGGAATTGTTAAAAATTTGTCGAAACATCCATCACTGTTAAACATGTAGAAAATGTAAGTACAGTAAATATGAGTTCAGACCACCAAAAGCAGTAATGTGACTTTCTTTTGAAATAACGTGCATTTATTGAAACTTAACTTTAGACGAGCTTTTCTCAACTTTTGAAAGACTTCCTGGACATTCTTCAAATGATCTTCAAAGTTGTTGCCAATTATTATGACATCATCAGGATAGACAGGTTAAGTTTTCACTCATGCCACGCAGAATTGCTTCTATAAACCATAAACACATCACATTGAACTACCACAAATCTGTTTCTAAGAAAAACATTGTCATTTATCATCTGGATGAAGTTGGATTTGCCAATAGGTGCTTTTCAGATCTAGTGTGGAAAATTCTTGAAATTCAGACAACGTATCTGGTGTGTCGTCTACCTCTGGTAACGAATAGCTATCCTTCTTGGCATCATTTAACCCACTGTA